CCCACACCCACACCCACACCCACCCACACCCACACCCACACTTACACCCACACCCTCACCACTGGACTCAGCGTGACCGATTACTCCTATCTTAACCTGTTTTTTGCGTGATCTGAGGTCAAATAGGCGAAATCGGAGTTCTCAGGAAAATACTTATAACTCCTGAATGGAACGAGATATCGAGGTCGCCCTTCCCTAGATTTATCGAGGACACCCTAGTCTATATTTTCGTACTTTTCAACATAGACTTCACTATAGACCTTAAGAAAATGGGATTCGAATCTTTAAAAAATTCGTTTGGCAAACAGCGTAGAAACCTTTGTTTTTTAATGCCTTATATAGGAATCGATAGAGTAACCAAGGCTCTACAAATTGGTGTAAACCGCAGCTCGCTAGCTGCTTCCATTCTCAAGTTATTCAAAAAATGGCGAATATCATTTTTTTTAACAGACAGTACTTCTATCTACTTCAGTCTACTTGAAGTAACTTGAACTTACTTTTGTACTTTCACGTACTTTTCTACTTCAAGTACGCTGTTTCTCCCTGTCAAAAACTGATCTTTCATTGAAATGTTTTTAATTCCGCTTTTGTTGCATAAGCTCTTTTATTTCTTGCATTCCCTTAATCCTGCTCACACCTAGGGGTGGCACTTTACCTTCAAACTTTACAAGTTAAAGTGGCTAAAGTTAAAATTAAAGTACCATATCTCAACTTTAAACTTTAACTTTAAAGTTAAAGTGTTTTACTTTAAATTTAACCACCTTAACTTTTAAAGTTTAAAGTTAAAGTGCCACCCCTATGTGGGAAGAATCATGAAAGATTAGAACTGCGACACGATGCAACTTGGACGTTTCACTGTATTTGCTTAACGCGCATCAACAGATAAAGACAGCGAAAGATCCAGCTTCAAAGATAACATCATCAAATATAGGTAAAATGACTTTGATCTCCGTATCTTTCGCAACCTAATAAATAAAAGCGTTGCAAGAACTTCTGTATTTTACTTTTTCTAAACATAATATAAGTATGACTGACGAAGCTGAAAAGTCTGTATTAGGTTCTTCGAATTTTGCTGAGCAGAAAATCATCGAGGAAAGTAGGCCGAATAATTCTCCCAATGTGCCCATGGTTGCAGACAATAATGTACACGGTACATTAGCTGTGATAGAAAACCCATGTGTTGTAAAATCGGATTCCCAGATGATGGAAGTTAACCAAAATGTGAGCGATTCGAGAAACTTCAATGATTGCATGGCGAAAAAGACCGACGATAGGGTTAGCAATACTGACTCAAAGTCTTTCGAACCAACCTTCGAGTTTATTCATCTTTATGTGCTGCGTAACTCGAAAGAGTACAATTCGAAGTTCATCATAAAAGCTATCTTTGGTCCGGACATCAAATTCGACTTTACACGAGACGATATTTTCATCACTAATGAAGTTCCTACCACTTTCGTATATCACTTAATTCTATGCTTAACGTGTAACGGCCCCGATCAGTTTTTGGTGCAGAACGAAAATTCTTGGAAAACTGTAAATGAGTATAATTTACGCATTTCATTATCAGGTTTCACAGGTACAAAGCATTATGTCGATGAAACAAAAAGATTCTTATCTACAAATATGAACAGAAAGCATCAGTTTCTTTTTGATGCTAGTTTTTCCAACGATGCACCTGGTAAGTACAATAGTATTCTAATAGCAACAGAAATATGTGTTTTCTTTAGGATCTAATGTGACACTATGGTGTCAACTTTGTCTATTTATTTTTCACGTTATTAAACAGCAAGCATACGCAGCAGTGGAAATGATAATTGATCAATTCAAAGTTGCTGTTCAAGTCAAGAACGAACGATTTAGTCGACAGGATTTTAATGAATTCTTCAGAATATGTTTTGATTTTATACATGTTATATTAACCAATCAGACAGACAAAGGCATCGTTTTAAAAGTATTATTTCGAACGATTGGTCTTTTGCCCATTAGTAAAGAAAGTTTTAATGTAACATATACTCCAGCTATTAATTTTATACAGAATATTCTTAACTATGCTGCGGAAGATTTTGTCAAAGTCTTTGATTGCGTTGCTGTTAATGAATCACCACTATTTAAGAATGGACTAGTAATAAGCTTGTGCACACAATTGTTATCTGAAAAATCGGCAAAATATCCCACTGAAAAAGAATCAGTCGTATTCGTTCTGATTCGTTCAATCGCTGAACAAAGTAAAAGGAGAGAAATTGCAGATGCAATGCTGAATCTTCTTGAAAATCTTAATCAGCAACTTTCGCAATCAACCTTGATTGAACTTTTATTATTCGCCAGTCCTGATCGTGTTCAATTATGTTATTTTCAATCTAATTCTTCATTAGAAACATACTTTGGGCAAATATTGAAATTCTCCGAAGTATTTGCAGTAGACCAAAACTTTCCAAAGAATTTGGCGGATTCTTTTCAGAAACTGGTTCTCAAAAATCATATTTCGAGTATGGCTAACTTTCATATTAAAACACATTGTACCTTTTCTTTGATTCGTTTTAGTTTCTTTCGAGAGTATTTTATTTGTTGTTAATTTATTGACTAACAATTCATATCAAACAGAGGCTGAAGAGATTGTACGCAAAACTATTGATCGTGTAATCAATTCGAATAACATTTTCATGGAGAAGATTCGAAATTATTTCTTGCAATCGTCTGTTTCTATGGAGAAATTTGTCGTTATTCGAGATATATTTCGATATGCAGACGCATATCTACTGTATCATGTCGATAAATTCAGTTTTCTTAAAAAGTTATTAACAACTTATCAAAGTCCGCATGCCGATACGTTTCATGAAGCTTGGTTTTTATGTTTTATAGTAGTCAACCCTCAAGAATACCCTATTCTCAACTCCGATCAATACAAAGAATTAGTTCGGATATGGATAGAGAGTGTCGCACGTAATAATTCAGTGGTTGTTCGATTCTTCAGAAAGATCGACGAGTTGATCTCTTCATTCAAACCTGCTAGTAACAACATACGGCAATTGGAATTTATTGATAGAATGGTTGACCTTTGTTTGCGATTTTCAACAAGTAAATGTTTAGTCTTTATTTCGATAATTTATTATTATTAAGTGTTCATTTTGTAGAAATTATCTACGATTTAATTCGCGATAGTTTTTGTAACGTACAAAGTATTGAATTTCTTGACAATTTCAAGCGTAAATTCATTGAAAAACTATTGGTATCTTCACAACAGCCATTCAATTCGAATCAAAACATTAGAACATTACTGTCAAGGTTGGTTGCATTGCATCGAGAAGTGAAGATGACGAACAATCTGATCAGCGATTTGATATCACTTCTCAGTAATAAAATCGAAATTGGTGCAGATGAGATCTTACGTGATACGTATGAACAACCGAATGAAAAATCATTCGTTTACAGTGTCCTTTTTGATGATTGGTCTAGAGAACTTGGACTACGTCAAATAGTTATTGATCAATTGTTTGCAAGATTAGTTCAATGGGAAGATCGAGGTTTGAAAGTGGGTGAGCTTTCTAGATGGAAAAATTATTCTGAAAATGAACATACGGTCGCCTGCCGTATTTGGAACTACATTTCTCAAGTAACAGCGAAAAATGTTGATATCAATAATTTAGTCAAAGCTGAAGAGGATCAAATGCAAAAAAAAGCCACAATAAAAGACACCATAACCATGTGTTTATTGATTTATTGTCCGAATGCAGTTGATCTACAGACATATTTGCAACAACTTGAAGATATGGATAAACGTTTTCAAAGTGACATTATTCGTTCTATTGATGTTCCACCTGAGATTGACGTACTTTCAAAATACACCAGTCGTCTTATTTCGTATTCGGAGTCAGAGTTATGGCTAAATTTTTACAGACAACATCGGAAGTGTAAGTTTTTCGACTAGCTTTTCTCTCGTTATATCAATATTATGTTTTAGCAATGCTATCCACGACGAATAGTGACCCTGAACCGATCGAAAGACAGAAAACATTTGCTACTACTGAAACATATCTAATAGATAGTGAGACAACTGAAACAGTTAATCAACAAACTTGTGCGGATTTACTAATGGAAGCGGATCGAATCTTTGACATTTTTCGTGAAGAAGTCAATTCAATATGTAAACAATGGCATGAATTTCCGATTTCTCAATTGGTTCAGCTATTTCCTGATTCAAATTATGTCGATGACGATCTCCGAATGCTTGAACCATTATTAAACGATCAAAATATTGTTCATATTGTTAAAGGAATTCTCGATTATTGGAAATCTTATTCGCACATACGTAATATTTGCTCTGGTGGTATTCGATTTTTGAATCATATAAGCGTTTTACCTAATGACTTAGCACCAACATTAACATCTATGCTTGAAACTACTAAAGACACACCTGGTAAATGTTGGCTAAAGGCCTGTCAAAATTTTCATAAAGCATATCCTCAATATAACACATCACCATCATTTTTTCTAATAGCTCAGTATGGTTTATCAAATGAACTTATTGATTTTGTTCATCGGTTGAGTGTCAATGATGTAAATGCTCTACGTGAAGTTGTGAATGATTGGGATGAATCATTAGTGAGCACAAAAACAATACTTGATTTCGCATTAATTAAAACATTTTTGGATCGAATCTATGCCCAAGCTCAATCAAGTCGCGAGGAAAATTCAACAACACACTTTGGATTTGATGAAGTTATTCATTGCTTTGAAATCGTGCTCAATGAAATCGAATTTCAAAACATTCAACAATGTTTTGAAATATGTTCAAAATCTTTGTTAAGTATTCAACGAATACATCAAGATATAGCAGATCGAGAGCAATCGAAGCGACAACGTATTATCGGCATTATGAAACAGTCGTCGCTCTACTTCGTATATCAATCGATTATGTTATATGACAGTATTGAGCATCAATTTGACGTCAATATTGATGATCAATCAATGGTTTTTGGAGAATTAATTGAACTTCATGATCGTGCACGTCTTATCGAATATTCGAACAATAAGATGACAAATAATTCCGAAGAAGAACTTGATCTTTTGCGGTCATTCATCGGTTTTGTTGATCTCATTGAAGAAATCTTAAAGCGTTTTTTATCTCTTCATGTCTCCGGTCATCTATTTGTGTCTGAATACTTATCATCTCCTGAAAAATTCACATGTACCGAAAAAAATTATCAACAATTAATCAATTTCTCTGTGAAATTAGATGGATATCTCAATGAATGGGATGATTATGTGTGCATGATGTATGAGCGATGCATAGATTTAACATATTTCTCGTTTCAACAAGTATGGATGGTGGAAAGATATCTGCGTAATTTGAACACAGCATCGAAGACTGATACGGGCTATCATTTACTCAGATACATTGGAATTGATCCGAAATTATTGAAAATCGATGAGTCTCTATGCGCAAATACCGATCCATTTAAACGCCTTGAAACTATTGGTAAGATACTAAGTAAATACCGATCAAGCCGAGACTCAGTTCTTCCTGGTGACATGTCAGTTGGGAAAAAAGTACGAATAGCTGAAACATCAGAAGAGGGTGTAATGCGTGCGATTCTCTCTTTTTCTAAATCTGCAAATATTCCAGCTACAGCGAGTCAATTATTCTATTGTACAGAAAAAACAAGTTGGATAGAGATAAGAGCTTTTATTTACCGATGTTTCTTTTCGAAAACATTACAAGTACTTATTCGTCCTGAACGACTAGAATCATTAATTCAAGATCAATTTCTACAATTGTTTCGGACTCTAATGAAAAAGCATTCCAATCTATGTTTTCAACTGGGAATTATCGCAACCGTGTCAACAACTCAATTGCAGTTGGTTCAAGGTTTAAAAACATTAGATATTGTTCAACTTGTTCATGATCAAGACATGCTCAGTTCAACTGAATTAAGTAATACTGTCAAACGATACACCGGCAATGATGTGACGTTAGTTATGTCACCCATAACTGGTCTTGGTAAATCAAGCTTTATATCGGATGCCATTAAAAACGCAGGCAGACAACACGTCAAATTTCCGATCCATGGAAACATCAATGTTGACGTTCTGGCCGAACGTCTATGCAAGTATGCTACCCAATTTGTAGACTTAAAGTTATCAGCAGCCTTACATATTGATATCGGTGCTGTTGATAATATTCGGCAACTGCACGAAATTATTTATTGTTTGTTGTTGTTTCGTAGTTTTCGATTCGGACAAGTAGCAGTTCATGTGCCTAACAACGTTCCAATTTATATTGAACTTGATGCATCATTTCATTTAATTCCTGAACAGGAGAAACTTATCATATTGAATTCATTGCATCGAGAAAATATCGACCAAATTGATTGGAAAAAATTGAATCTAGAGAAGATGCCAGGCATTTCATTAGTAGCAAATTACCTGCAATCAATTAAGAACTCAACGATAATTTTACAAGATCTTAATGAACAAAATATGAAACCGATTGATCTTGACACCTGTTCTTCTCTTTTGGAACAATACTTTGTTCGTGACAAGGATGGAAAAAATATTGCCTGGACAAAATTATTTATTTTCATTGCTGTTTATTCTCATTTGTTTTCAGGCTTTTCACGATGTGGTTATTTTCTTGTTAGTTCTGTCAAATGGCTGAATGTACCACAATTACGAATGGATATTCTCATTAGTCTTCTTAATTCATCGGATCAATTTACATCATTGTCTGTTGAAAATGTTCGACAGAATCAACGCTCTACAAACACTTCAAATTTAGTGGATTTCAGTGAGTCGATTATCAGATGGGACAAATCTCAGCCTTTCACTCTGGTCTTTACTGCAACTGATGATCCAGTTTTTGTCTATAAGAAAGCTGATGATGTACCAAAATCGCTAGTTCAAGCCTTCAATGTTCGACCCAGATCAAGATTACAACAACAAACATCGCTCTCAGCATTAGTACCCGATTATACTACTCTGACACATGAACAGTTTTTCGCCAAACTTGCATCTCTTTCTCGCAAATATTTCAATAAGTCCATTTGCCTTAGATGTTTCAGTCAACACGAATATGGCGATCAACAGTGTAAAAAGTGTTCGACAAAAGATCCTCTGGTTCGACCGGACACGTTCAACAATGCCGATGTGACCAAATTTCAGACGATGATTGCTCACAAATTGCAAGAAGAATATGTACTAACACCCGACAACTATATTAAAATGCTGCTAGTCTATCTACGTGTTCAAAGCAATCTTCCTGTGTTAATCATGGGTGAAACAGGTAAGGTCGTTTTACCATGGCTGAGAAATGCACATGAGACAGTCCAAAGTCACAGAATTCACTTTTCCCTTTCCCAATCATTTTCACGCTATAGCCCTATTGAGATTTTATTTTCTACATCACTTATCTATAGGCTGCGGAAAAACATCATTGATCCAATTCTTGTGCCAAAAGATCCTCGACGATGAATTGTGTGTTGTTCGGGTACATGCTGGTGTCACTAACAACACTATTTATAGTCAAATGTTCGAATTTATACGTAAAGCAGAAGAATGCTCAAGCAAAAATAAACGATTGTGGGTGTTTTTTGACGAATTCAATACAACTCCAAACATAAGTACTTTCAAAGAAATCATCTGTGAAAGAACGCTTCTCGGTCAACCTCTACCTAAGAACATGGTGTTTTTGGGTGCATGCAATCCACAACGATGCAAAAACGTGAAGATGACAGCAGACGACGATATCGGTATTAAGAAAGATCGATATGAACTACAGCGAATTATGAACGTCAGAGGAAGTACAGCGTTAATGTACACCGTCGTACCGATTCCTGAAACTATGCTTGAATATGTGTGGGATTACGGTTTTCTTGATTCAGAAACTGAAACAAAATATATCAAAACAATGTTAAATTCTTGTATGCAATTAGCGCATTATAACAAATGGTTTGAATGTACAATATCTCTTCTTGTAAGCTCACAACGATTCTACCGAGATTTTGAAGATGCAAGCAGTGTATCACTACGTGATATAGCTCGCTTTTGTCGCCTTTATAACTGGTATTTCAACATGATTCAAGCACGTGCAAAAGCAAAAGAAAACAAGAATGGTACACAAGAGAATGATTTACGAGATGCCAGCTTAATGGCTCTTCTTCTCTGCTACTATTTTCGTCTCAAATCACCCAAAGATCGACAAGCGTACGTCGATATTATTCATGAACAGTTAGGAAGATATTCTTCTCAATTGAAGAGTCAGAGAACTTTTCTCCTCGATTTAATTGACAAGGAACAGAAGACAATGATCGATGCAATGGAATTACCACCAGATACAGCTACCAATCGTGCATTAAAAGATAATATTTTTGTTCTAGTAGCATGTATTGTGAATCGAATACCTGTTATTCTATGTGGCAAACCTGGATGTAGTAAAACGTCTTCTGTACAGATTGTTATCAATAATCTGAAAGGAACAAGGTCAAAATCTTCATACTTTCACACACTACCCGAATTAATCGCAGTATCATATCAAGGCTCACAAAACTGTACATCAGAAAGTGTCATTAAAGTATTTCAACGAGCTGAAAAATATACGAAAGTCAAGAGTAACACAAATCAATTGTTACCAGTAATTGTTTTTGATGAAATCGGTCTTGCCGAACTCTCACTCCATAATCCGTTGAAAGTTCTACATAGTGAACTTGAAGTTGAATCTTGTCGTTTCGGTTTTGTGGGTTTGTCCAATTGGCGTCTTGATGCTTCGAAAATGAATCGCGCTATTTATGTATCATGTCCAGATCCTGATGTCAATGATTTAGAAATAACAGCTAAAAGAATTTTAACATCCATGGCTAACAGTCAAGAGCAAACTGTTCGATTTAACGAATCGGTCATTAAAGGTTTGGCTGATGCCTATGCTCGTTTGCATGAACATGTAAATAAAAACGAACAATATAATCATTATTTTGGTTTACGCGATTATTACTCATTAATCAAAGGAATTTTTCAAGAAACAATTCAAACTCGAGAAGATCCATTCACATGTGTTCGACGGCAATTATCGGTAAATTTCGACGGCATTTTTGACGGTTCTAATTACATGTGGGAACAATTTTGCCAATTTATTAAAAGAAATTACTTAATAAACCGTCATGCAGCACCGAAATTCAAATCATTACTTGATCAATGTTTAACACAACGTACAGGACGCTATCTAATGCTGATTGCTGAAAATGAAAGTGCTATCGATTATGTGGAACGATACATCATCACTAATTATTATTCACATACAGTGCGCACTTTGATCGGTAGTTGTTTTTCAGGTGATTTAGTTTCCGGTACAACTTACACAGAACAATACAATCATCGAATACTCATGGATATTATTCCATATGCAGAAAGAAGTACAACATTAATCATGCGACGAATGGGTCATATTTATGATAATCTCTATGATTTATTCAATCAAAATTTTACTGTATCAGCAGGAAAAAAATTTTGTCGCATACCTATCGGTCCTCTTTATCATCCACGATGTCTTGTCAACGATGAATTCTATTGTATCGTCTTTGTTCAACGAGAAGAGCTAAGCAAATGCGATCCACCATTTCTCAATCGGTTCGAAAAACATATTATCGACATGAATAGTCTTTTTCATCCGTTTCAAAAAACGATCACATCCGATCTATTAGTTTGGCTTGCCGAGCTTTTATCATCAAATACTAATAAAAATTTTCCTTTACTTCAGCATTTATTCGTTAATTATAATGTGGATTATATTCATAATTTAGTCATTGATGCATTTAACCAATTGAATATTGTCACCGATAGCGAAAGTAATCATGCACATGATATATTAGCTTATTGCAAAGAAAAATTACTCTTAGCCAGTTCATTTGATCTTCCATTGGTCTTAGCATGGCGATCAAACAATACAGAAAATGTGCATCCATTAATTGATCAGTATTACAATCTTCACGAACATCTCTCGTTCTCAAATATTCTTCGACAAGCATTGAGTGTTGATAAAGGAGTTATACCTGATCGAATCATCTATACTTACACACAAGTGCACGATATGATAAACTATGATAACCAAGAAAACCAGATCAAAGAAATCAAACTAGGAAATTTCAAAACCGAACTTGAATTAATCAAAACAATTCGTTTATTTTATAAATCCACGAAACAAACGCGTTTATTAATTATTCGTGTTGATTATCATCGTGAACAAAAGCATGCACTTTTTCTGAAACATATTCTACATAATAATCGTGAAATAACCAGTAATCATAAAATATGGATTATCTTTCATCTCCAACGAAATCTCCTTAATCAAGTAACGAACGATGTTTTATTCAATGATTGGAACATCATCATGATCGAAAATTTGAATGAACATAAACTTATTCCTCGAGAGATTCTTATCAACCCATTCTATGTTGGATTAATTAGTCATGATCAATTTCGTTTTACTGAATGCACATTTGATGAACGTATTCGTCGTTGTTTTACTAAATTTCGTTACATTGGCTCTCCAAGAAATGATGAAAGTCGTATAAATGAGCATCTCGATGGAGTTCTAGAATCTATCACAACAACTGATCCATCGATACGATCAATTGTCCAAAGTTATCTGTCAATCTTACAAGCAAACATACAATTTGACTCTGAAGATTGGCGTCAAGATCTTTTAACCAATGAAATTATTATCGGAGCATGCCATTCAGTTTTTAGTGCTATTCAACAAACGATATCTCATTACTATGATAAATATATCTTTCTACTATTTTCTCACTTGGAAAAATTTTCATTTCTTGATACATATCTATTGATAATATCGATGAAACCGTCAGATGTTCGAGATAGTTTAGAAAAAATCTGGCATGATTCTTTAACATTATCATTAAAATCTATCGATCGAACTATGATGAATATGAATGTGATGGAAATACCGCTCATCTTAGGTTTACATCTACCGTGTGCAAGAGCCGAACATGATCAACTATGTCAAATTCGAGAGCTCTTGATAAATAATTCTCAAAATTATACTTCAGAATATTTTGATGAGAGCGATTCAACTGTGAATGAATTCGCTCTCAATCAGTTAAAAAAGAGAAGTGTTTACAAGAACAATTGGGAAACTATTATTAACCAAGCACTTCTCTTCGAACACTATTATCATGATCAACTTCTTTTGCTTCTTGATGAAGTCAAACTTTCACAAATACCTGTCTCAGTAGTACACACATTACTCAACTCAAACCCAACTCGATCTCGAACAGATGTACTCAAACATTTACTTAATAATTATGCGGAATTAATCGAAATCTTACGTATGTTTGAGGTTTGCATTGAACTTATCAATGGTGAAAGAATAATTGTTGACATGTTTGAAAAACAATTCATCAGAATGGATACTTCAAATACAGCAAATCCTCATCATAATGAAAGTCATTTTTATCGTCTCATATTACATAATGAACATTTTTATTTGGTAGCACCACAAGCATTAGCATCATTTGATGAAGCCTTCGAATGTGCAGGTGATCCATTTATCGAAACAAGTTTAATGAATCTTATCGAGTTAATTACTTCAGCTTCATCAATTCAAAAAGTTAAAAATATTGAACAATTAAGTACTACTTATGGACGAGTTGTAGAAGGCGTACTTTCCTTAGATAACTATACGGTGAATAATCTCGAAAAATTACGTTCATTTACTAGTCTAGTTCGTTGCATCACAACTCTGGTGCGACAAGAACAAAGTTTAACTGTTTTTAAAAATGCTTGTGATTATACGAATTATGATATGAATTTTCAAACATGTGATGACATTCATCAATTTATGAAACAGTTACATATAATGATTAATTCTAATTCAAAGCAAATCACCGATAATTTACCTCAAGACCCATTGATCAAACTAGAAACAGAATTTATGAAAAATTGGCTCGTTGATCATGGCAATGAATACATAGATGTTTTAACATCAATTAGCAAATTAGATAACTCATTATGGAAATATTCTGCTCGTATCTTTACTGTACTCGATCGTAAATTAGAACTATTAGATAAGATTAAGAAAACTAATGGGCAAATATCACAAGATGATGAAGAAATCGAACAATTTGATCAATATTTAAATGCATTAATTGATCCAACACGTAAGATTGAACATCTTATGGTTAATCGGATTCATATGCATTTGATTCTTGATGTTCGACAAAAACGAACTATCGAAGATATTCTTCAGAAAGATTTCATTTATCTTGAAGACAATATTCGTCGAGTGATTGAAAATCAATCTCAACGCAGTGCATCATTGATTAGTTTAATCGCTTGGTTGAAATACTATACTCAATACTATGCATTAGCATTAAACAATGATATACAAATCGAAGTAATGAATCATATTGATCGAGTATTAACTCGTGATGATTCACCATTTTGTTCAACGTTAAAATTATTCATTATTAAACAACTCTGTCAATTCTTTAAAGTATCATTGGATGGATTATGCAATATCTTTGTTAATCGTAATTGTTATTGGATTCGCCCAATGATCGCTCACTCTAATGCTCAACAAGCACAAACTATGCGACGAAATCTCATCTTACCAACACCATTATTTCAAGGTTCTGACGATTTTACACAAATTAATAAACTCTTGTCTCAAAATTACAGTAATGAACGATTACGAGCATTGATCATTCAATGTTCCTCCAAACAAGAATCGTCGTATAGTTTATTCATTTGGTTTATTCATCATTATTCACGTTTTCGATTATCTGATATGCCACCTGATAATCGTCTGAAAAATTTGATTGAAAAAGAACTGCGTGAAACAATTCTTAGTCATTTCGATTTAATTGGATACAGATTTCTTGCTGGACTATGCAATAATTTCAACAATAGTTCCTACTTCTCGCTTGATCCCAATATGACAAGAAATGAAATTCATCAGCGAATGGTAGCACTAAATATAATTGCTCTCTTACTTTCTACGAAAGCGATAGGTCAAACGACGCATCTAAGCACTTTTCTGTTTGATCGTCAACTTAAGATGCCTGAAAATTACACCGATCATATTCAACAATCTGTGTGTTTACCAGGACTTATGACGAACAATCCAGTGGTAACACAAATGATCGATGTAAGAACACGAGTAGAAGAACGTTTTAGAACAAAAAAGATCGGTATAAGAGGAAGATTTATGTTTCGATGCTCAAATGAATGTTTATGGATGTTTCACTTCGAAAATTGTGGTCGAGCCAATGATCGAAGTATATGTCCGTTATGTCGAAAAGAAATTGGTGCTATCACAGAAGGTGTTCTTATTGAACGGCAACCACCACAAATTCAAATGTCTATTGAAGAAGGTTTTGAATTTATTGATAAATACATCAACGAATTCAATCAAAAGATTGTGTATGGCTATCATAATACGAATACAGCTGATCAGAGTAATGTAGGTGAAAAGCCAAATCATCTTCAACTTCCTATTTCCTTTCGTTTCACACATATGTTGACTCATACAACGTTACTCATGCTACATGAACTTGATCAATTAACCAATACGACTCTACCGCGTCGTGAATATTTTCGTGAACATTTCGAAAAAGATTACGAACTCTTTGGTAAACAACTCGCTGATCCTGAACAAAGTGCTGTATGGTTATTTAAAGGGATCAATGATATGATGGGAAATTTATGGAGAACGCAAGGATCATTGGATACTCCTGTCGATGTGATCGAATTCGAGAAATCGATTGAAGAAAAGATTATTCTTCCTCATATTCGATCAGTAGCAGACGAGATCAATGAATACAAAGCAGCCTATGATAAATTTATAAGTAAAGAAGAATTAGATTTTGAATTCGATAGTTATATCAGTGAACTTCGAGAAAACGAACAGCGTTTTCCACTATTAAACTTTTTCAATATAACTACTATCCAAACTGTTAATCCATTAGATGAGTTTCTTACCAAAATTCAACTAATTCCTCAATCTCATTCAATGTATCCGGTGACAAGTTTTCTTATGGAAAAATTACAAACCTACGTAAATATTCAACATTTATATCCTATAGTAACCTTTATTAATTATCTGATTGAAAAATATAACCATCGAATCAAACGCAATGATGCCAGCGAAAATACCATCGCATTTTACTTAAACAAAGATCCTATTGACGCTACAATGTCTCAACTCTATCGACATTTTGTTCACGCTTGGTGTAAATTGGATTTTCTTCAAGTGCGATTCGGATGTCAAACTGTCAAACTTGAACAGAATCGTGAACCAGAAACGTTTGCTCAACGCACAAAATTCGCTGCTGTTTTGTTGAATACATCAAAAGACATGAGTAGTATTGTCTTGGCCGGGTGTTTGAAAACTATGGGTGAATTACAAAATGAAATAGTCACGTTTTATCAGAATGAAATTTATGCTAACACAGTAAAGATACCACGGACAGTGCCTATTCAATCTATACAACCAAGACACGTTCTTTGTCTTGATAAAGATGATATTAGTAAAAAATTGATTGCCAATGGTTTTACAATTAACTATCAATATGGTAAAAGTCAAGAGATAATCTACGATTATGAAGAAATTGAATCGACACTTCGAAATCTAATTAATGGTTTACCATTGATTGATGTCGAGCATTTCCGTTATCTCAATTATCAATTTGAACTTTATGGAGAAAATTCTTCACTAATTAATCATGTTCGTGCTCGTGTTAAACAAGAACCATTGAACAGTGATGAACGAGCAAAACTGCAAGCACTCATTCAAAATATGAAAAGTGATATGGTTCTCAATTATCTTGGTTCACTTGATTATGCATTTACCTATTTATGTAATATTGATATGAGTACAGATGGAAACCCGCCGATTATCGAATCGTTTATTAAGGATCACATTAGTTCTGCTTCATGTTTGAATGAGAATGTTCTTCGTACGCCTCCATTTTCAAAAATCAATCTTAAGCATGTCATTGATCTATATGAACTATTAGAAGAATGCGCTTTTGATCAGATTTTACGTCATTCGATCAGATCGGAACTATCAGAAGAATTATTACCAGAAGATCACAGACTATTGTTAATCGATAAATTTATCAAAATGACGTATGAAAATAAAACGATTGCTAATTGTCTTCATGATGCTAATATTTGGATAAACATCTTAAAACGATTAATGATGCGAGTATTGATGAATACCGGTGTTAGTCTTGATGTTGCCTTACAGATCTATCTTGAACGAACTGATTTATGGCCTGGTCATGTCACCAACATGGATATTCATACGATCGATGTTAGCGAAGAAATACTATTAAAACATACATATATCATTCTAAAAGGTTTAGAAAGAAAACAAGCGAAACCTTCATCGATTCGAGATAATATCGAGCACCAAACACACGATCAGAACGTACAAGTACAAACTTCGGATGAACAAATTCATCAAGCTAAAATGTGGTTAACAACGACTAATGAAACAAAAATGGTACCCAAACAAATTTCTGAAACGAAGAAAGTTGGCAAGAAATTGCGTGATAAATAGATAAAGAGTTCAGTTGGTCTTTTTATCATTCCTAATGAGACTCTCTCGAAAATGATTTCTATAAAGTTTTATTTTCATTTGAATATTAATAAAGCTTGCTTGGGTAAAATAATCGTTTTTATGTACTCAAAAAATGAGCACACTCTAGAATTGATCAGTATGTCCGTCCGATCGTCTACATGATAACTCTTCAGAAACTCATGAGATTAAGATCAAAATTTTGCACATAGAATTGTCTCATCAACATCTCGATCAAGTTCGAAAATGAGAATGATTCGTCAAGGGTGTGGGGGTGGGGGTGGGGGTGGGGGTGGGGGTGAGTGTGGGTGTGGGTGTGGGGTGTGGGTGTGGGTGTGGGTGGGTGTGGGTGGGTGTGGGTGGTGTGGATGTGGGCGTGGGTGGTGTGGGTGTGGATGTGGGCGTGGGTGGTGTGGGTGTGGATGTGGGTGTGAGTGAATTGAGCATCTATACCAACACCCACACCCACACCCACACGCACACCCACACACCCACACCCACACGCACACCCACACACGCACACCCACACACTCACGCCCACACCCACACCCACACCCGGAAGATTTGGCCATTCTTCGACCTTTCGACATGAAGGTTCTACAAATTCGACCTTGTCTTGCTCAAGATGCTGAACTGAAACATCTAGATGAACTTAACAGAAAGACACAGCGAGAGTGGACTTTTTTTGCTTTTTGAAATTGTATAAATAAATAGTTTGGTGATAGTTTAGAAACACCATTTCTATGAGAAAGAGCGGAGAAAGTTCTCGGGCGAACGTTACTTGTGTGTTGTTTCAAAATAAAATGAAAACGATGTCAGTAAAGTTTTAGGACAGAATGAAGATGAAGGCTTCACTTGCATTTCTGATACTACCGTTATCATCACAAAAACTTGCTGCTGATGATAAAAAACGGCCATGTAGTATGCACGGGTTCTTGCTGGTATGATATGTTGTTTAAATAAATAGTATGTTGTAGACATTTGGAAAAGAAGTGAGGAAGAGGCAGCACAAATGTACTTTTTAGTAAAATCAACTTAATACACACTAAATAAAATTGTATCGCATGTGTCGTGGTTTGCGACACATTGTACGACACATTGCAGTACGACGCAAGGAGCTCACTGCGACACATTTTCTCCAGCGAGACTGCGACACATTTTGTACGACACATGCGACACATTTTCTATTGGTTCTTTTCGAAAAGCATAATTATTTCAATTTTTTTCTATTCAATATAATTCCATTGAATTATTTCTATGGTGAAAACTCTAGCAGGTTAGATCCTGAGATCTCTCCTACTTCGAGTTGATCTGATTTGCATCAGACGACTCCAATGTAGTCCTTTCTCGATGATGACTCGAGATTGGCATTTTCTCGACAAAGACTATCGAGAAATAATTTAGAAAAAAAAGAATATTTTGAAAATTCATCTTTCTTACGTTCAACCACGTTGTTTATATATCGTCATGTCTGCATAATAAAAGGGTGAACGACTAGTTAGCAGACAGAACGCGAAAAATTTGTATGCGAGACATTCTGTGCACGACACATTTTTCTGCTGGAGTGCACGACACAATAATTCACGACACATAAACACGACGCATTTTAATTTAGTGTGTAGACTCTCAAACATTGCAAGGATCATTAAAACTATATCTACACTTCGAATGTAACTACTTCATTCTCTAGTTGGAAAAAACCGAACATGACTGTAGTAGGAATGAGAGAAAAACACTGTTTTGTTATGTGTTGCCATGTTTACTTCATAATGTGGCATTGAGTTTCCATGAAATTAGTCATTGAAAAAGTTGGTATGCTCCAACAATAGAATTATTAATAAAAGTTGCTTCGCTACAGCTTGAAACGTAGAGTTTATAATAGAAACAGATCGAAAATATGACGACTCAGCTATATCGAAGCAACACTGTTCATGTAGCTCATGCAGATGAAAACGGAGTTGTAGCTGGCGTACAAGATACAAGAATGGAGCTAGGTCGACCCCGAGAGACGACGGTACTGACTTTTGTTCGAAAAACATATCCTGCTCAATACAATCATGTTGTAAGAAATATGAATCAAATCAATTACCAAACGAACACTAAAAATAAGAGTTCTATGCGTGGTGGCCATTTTTTATTGTACCGATATGTAATTTTATTTGCCATTCTTCTTTCTTTTGCTTTTGGCATCGCAAGTATTTATGTGAAACCATGTGCGGTAGCTTCATTTGTCGTGCCAGCCATTTATATTGCATTATCTATCTACAACATTGTGATATTTATACGTAATCGGCCTCTTATTCATCCAATACTTGCAATACATGTATCGCGTGAGGCACTTGGCAACATGATCAACAGATTTTATGCCATACCTGTGAACGCTGCAGTTGTCACTGGCGTGTTTGCTGCATTTATTGACCCGGCCGTTGTTGTGGCAGCGGTGAAAAAAGAAAACATTCAAATTACTGAAATTCACGTTATGTTCTACGATGACATATACCTGCGTCGAAGCAAATTTCCAAAAGAGATTGCTATTCATTTAACTATTTTCATAATACTATTCATTCTTGCGATTATTTTTGTTGCTGTATCACCTTCTCGCTGAAATGTATACGACCAAGGCTTTTGGTTAATAATAGTTTTATTCTACTGGAAAACCGTTGATATGGGTGATGAGTTAGAGTGATGCGCGGATTCTAGGGGTGTGGGTGTGGGGTATGCAAGAGGGAAAAAGCAGATTTTAGTCCCTAAAATCTGTGGAAATCTTTAGAAATCTTTAGAAATCTGCTCTTTTAGCTTTGCGTAGGCAGTGATAGAGTCGTTGGGCGTTAGTAGGTAAATTCGGAGATCGTGATTCATGCAAATTTTGAAATTACTTCAAACGCTAAGATCGAAAAATTTTACTACACACGAGTACGCACAAACTTGTCGTATTGTGCTTATATACTGTATCCTGCTGTTAGCTAATCAAGTGATCGAGAAAAGTCTATCGACTGTTTTTCGTTAAATCAATGGTCACAACGATGATAATGCAACATATTTTTTGTCAAAATACTTGTTAATCTACTTAAATTCGTTAAAAGTTCTAGTTATGTTTATTGATGTTTTCTAAGATGACATATTCAAATTTTTGAAAATTAGAGGGTGCGTTTGGGAAGCGATAAAAAAATCGAACGAGCTCGCCTATTATTCGAGAATAATGAAAGTCTCTTGAATAAAAGTCGGTTCTTGACGACAATGATTTCACTCATGACTCAAAAGTTCCGATAAAGTAGCTAATATCCAAAAAAAAGGTTTATCTTGGTTTACTAAGCAACATGCTGTGCTTATGCACGTTGAACCAAATGAAATATACTATTTTTTCATTGTTAATGAACCTATTCAATAGGTGATACAAGAAAAAAATGTGATTATATGGCAATCAAATTCGTAGACAATATATGACGACGTGTTCTGACCAACACAACATTTTCAATTGCTCACATCTTTTCTCTTATTTTGAAAAATATGTGTTATAAAAATTTGTTTTGTATGAACCGTATAACTTTAGTTACATGAAACAATGGATGGGAACTGCACTGAACCATAGTTGAACAAAATTTACACAAAAATACAAATGTACAAAAAAATACTTTTAAAAGTTTTATCCGCTCGTCCGTTTCACACGCGACAGACGGTCACTAGATAAATGACCTTTTTCTTCGGTCAAATACCAACATGCCGTTTGTTTATGTAGAAATTTTTTTTGTCATTAATTTCAACCTCAAAATATGAGTTTTTATGTGCTTGATCAATTGAATCAAATACTCGCATACCAGAAAAATCGGTTCTATTTGATTGCAGAATGTTATCTGGCATATCATCGTCATCATTTATCATTGAAATTCTATACTGATTTTCATCTTTATCATCATTATTATTAAAGTCATCATGATCGTAATTATCTGAATCAGAATCTGTGAACGTTTTCGATGTTACTGAGTCGATTACTCGATTTGACTTCTTCAAGCTGTTGTATGTTTCAGCACTTAATGCTTCTAATTCCAATAGATTATATTCTTCTAATAATATATTTATATCCAATTTATATCCAAGTTCTTTTGCATGTTCAAAAGCTTAGAAGACTATTGTTTTAATCTCAGTTACATTAAGACTCTGATTAAATACTACAATCTTTTCATTGTCTTTTTGATGCTTGTGATATTTAGGAAATTGTAGTTGATAGTGTTGAGTTTGACCTTGAAGAGCTTTGATATTTTGTAATATTGTTAATTTTTCTGCTCGATGCAAGAAATCTAAAGGAGAGAAATTTGAAGAAAATAACACTTGGACTGTAAAGAAAAGTTGTCCGCCTAGCCGTATTTGTCAAAAAATATAGTATCTTGGTGAGGATACTCATCAAGTGAGCACGATGTCCTAATGTCAGTACTCAAATTACTAGTTGAAGTCATCCAACATTTTTTATATACATGAATACTTTGCATGCATTTTGACCAATACTCATATGAGGTTTCCTGTACAAATTTAGTTCTAGAAAGTGATATGAACACACAACTGTACTACTTGCACTCGTTGTTTGGTAGCATATTCAAGAAGGGTGTGGGTGTT